ACACGCTGCTGGTGGTGGGCAGTAAATCCCGGCATGGATCCTTGGATCGGCTGTCCACGAAGAGGCCCTGAACCAGTGCCAGAAATATATTGCAGGACGGGAAGGGGGCGACGAAAAAGTTCGTTCCAGAAAGATGATGTTGGAGGTAGGGGCTTCGACTCTGATTGGTGCTAAAGGAGCACCATCCTGCGGTTTCTCGGCTGTCCTCACTCTTTGGATGGAACACGAAAGAGTTGGGACGGAGCTGGGGATTTGTTGGAAACAGGATTGTGACAGCCTTGGGTTGGGGGCCCTGAGCGTAAGGTGAGGGTTCTATGGAGCATAAGAGGAACGGAGGCTGAGGCAATGGGTGCAGAGTGTGTGGACACAAGGTTACTAGGGAACCCTAGCACGGAGGCACTGTTCCCGAGGAACCCCGGTTCTCCTTGTTCTCGAAGTTCTGGGGACTGCAGCCACCTCCGCACCTCTTCGCTGTCCGCTCTCTTTCTGCTCTTCCAGGCTCTCTGCTCCCTCTGCTGGCCTTTTTGGCATATGACACCTCCCTGGAGTCTTGGAGGCAGAGGAAACTTGGGAAGCCAAAGGAATAGGGTTTACAGATCCCCACCAAAGCCCAGTTAGGAGTCCAGGGAGGGGGTTGCATGAGCCCCCAAAACCGGACTGGCAGAGGCTGCTAGTGCAGAGCGGTAGTGTCTAATAGTGTCTCTTTGGATTTGTGTTGCCATGGTGATCAGATGCAGGGAAAGGGTCAGCTATTTCACTCTCTCTGACCTTTCTTTATGAGAAAGGGGTGAAAGCATGGTGGGGGGTGGGCAGGAGGTCCCTTTATTTTCTGTTACCCTACAGACAGACCTCCCACATCCTAACTCTGCTTCCAAGGACCACTTCCTTGGGGCTGGAGGGTTAGTAGGCTAACTGTTCAGTCTGAGGGTCAAGGGGAAAAGGGGAAACTAGGAAGTGATCTGAGGCCAGCGCATATAGATAGTAGCTGTGAGGTACAGATAGGAGCGTATCTGAGCTCCCTCCCCCATGTTTCTTTGACCCAGACACCAGTCATACCCAGAGGGTCAAGCACGACCAGAGGTCACTGAAGAAGAAGGGATCCTGTTCATGCTCCTGTCTCAGCCATGTGCCCCACCCTCCAGGGCAGTTCTTTTAGGGCACACTGCGTTCTCCTCCCCAAACTGCTTTCTCCAGATCGGCGATTCTCAAATATTTGGTTTCGAGACCACTTTACACTCTTTAAGTTTATCAAGCTGTTGTTTATGTGGTTTGTATCAATTTACCATATTAGAAATTAAAACTGAAAAAAGTTTGTAACACAAGAATACACAAGCACACATCCCATTAACAATGTCAGAAAGATGACGTAATCGCATGTCACCAGCCTCTGGAAAACACTGAATGCTTTTGAAATAATGAAAATAAAAAGGCAAACATCTTAGTATTATGATGAAAATAGCTGTGACCCTGTGGACACCCCTGAAAGGGTCGCAGGAACCTCCCAGGGGTCCCCAGACCACACCTTGAGAACCATTGCTCTGGACCATCACCCCAGCCCTTTATGACTCACACTGGTTGATTTTTCTTCTTCATTTTCACTAGGAAAGTATAAATGTTTTTTCCCCAGTGGGTCCTGCCTCTCACTGGGAAAAGCCAAGGAACTTCTCAGGCTCAGCACTCTCTTCTCCTGAGGCCCATTCCTGGGGCTCTGCTGAACACACCTTCCTCAGCCCTTGCCCATCTCCTTCTTGACCCTCCCTTAAAGCACTTCCACAGTCCGACCCCTGGCCAGCCTGTTTCCCCTGCCCCAAGTCTGCTGGACCCTCGGTCTGCTTCTTTCTGCTCTCACTTGAGGACATTCTCTTCTCGGGAGAGACGAAGTCATTTTCTCTGCCTGCTTCTCCCCTCCCTCCTTCCCCCCCTCCCTCCCTTGCCGCTGCTATTTTCTCATAGGGCAGGAAATCATGCTTTCTGGGTAGGTTCCTTCAGAGGACACACTATCCCCAGCTCCCCACACATCAACCAGCCTGGAATAGACCAGCGTCTGGCTAGGAAAGTGTCCATTTGGGTCCCAGAGAGGTCAACTCAGTCATACTGCCAGGTGGCCCATTGGGTGGGGTGCAGAATGGGAATCTGATGCCTCCAGCCACAGATGGATGCCCTTTGCCTGGGAACCCCCAACTTGATATCTTTACTTCAACCCCCAGATCCTCTTGCTAGCTGCAGCCACAGGCCTCCACCACCATATCTGGCACATCTGTCTTGACCACATTACCATCGCGGTTCAGGTAGAGGAGAGAGAGAGGCCTCCGGGCAGTAGGGACACAGCAGGAGGTACCCAAGGGCCAAGGGTTGTTGGCCTTGAGGAGGCTGAAGACAGCAGAATGGAAGGAGGCAGCAATGCCCGGGCTGCCAGCCAGGTGGGAGGGGCACTGCCCACTGCAGTAATTCAGCTGGTACCCCTCAGGCTGCAGGATCCAGTCCCTCCATCCCAGTTCCTGGAAGTCTACATAATGGTCTCGCCGACAACATAAGGGGGTCTCAGGTTCACAGGTGGGGGTCCTCCTCCTGACTCGGCCTGCTCCCTGCTCATTGGGACGGGTCTTAAGCTCCAGGAAGGGCCGCTGGTTTCCCTCTGTGTCCAGGAGGCGCTGAGCTTGTCCGGCAGCTGTGCTGTTGCCTTCTAGGGGACTGCAGTCCAGTTGGAGCCTCAGGACATGAGACTCCTCACCCCTCAAGCCACTAGAGGGCAGAGTCAGGGCATGCCAGCCAGGGCTGGTAATGTGGTGCTCAGCCAGGAAGGTGCCGGACCCTCTGTGCCTCCTCCTTGTGCCCCATCGAAAGATCTTCAAGTGAAGGGTGCCAGGAAGGGTGGGGAGTACATGAAGCCATAGGCGCGCGTGGAACAGCTGGTGGGACCGAGGAGTGGACAGGTGGAAGGTGAGCATGGAGCTGCAGGTTGAAGTGGAGGAGTCTGCCAGAAAGATGGAAAAAGGACTGAGGGACTGAGCAGAAATGGAGCTCTCCTCCGAGTCTCCTGTAAGCCCTGCCCACTGCTCTCCCCAGCACCCACCGTTAGAAGAAACAGGGACTGTCTAGCATCGTCGGCACCCAGTCCCTGCCCCAGCTTCTCCTCCTCCCCCCACGCCCTGCTCTGCCTGGCTTGTCTGCCAGCCTCCCTTTCTGCCTCCCTTTCCCTGTCTGCTTTCTGCCTCTCTCTCTCTCTCACCCACCTGTGGTGGTAGCAAAGCTGATGACCTCCTCCCCTTCCGGCGAAGCCACACTTCCCTGCTGCAGTCTCTGGATAGCTCTGCTCAGTGCTGCCTGGGGTGGAGGGTTAGTTATCCTGGGACGACCGGTCAGGTGCAGCCCCTCCAGGATTTGCTGCTTGGCCAGCTCTAGGACCAGAGCTCGTTCTGCTTGGGGTGCCAGGGTGGGGCCCCCACAGGAGGGACACACAGACCTTGTCTCCTGTGCCCACGCCAGTGCCCACAGCAGCACCAGCCGGAGCTGGACATGAGGGAGCCCCATGTTCCTGGTGAATGGCCCTGGGTCGAAACGGGAGCCTCGGATGGCAGTTGCTCCTGCTGTTGAGTCTGACTGCACGGAGGCCAAAGAGGGCACAGCAGCGCCAGACAGCAGTGCCACACCTACCCTCAGCCTGGGTAGAGCCACCTGTCTTCTGCTGCCTGGTAGAAAGTGGACGGTCTGATGGGTAGCTGTGTTTAGCACAGTCTGCCAATTTGACCCTCACAGCTCATGTCTGGCTACTGACTGGGGCCTCTTTAGAGCCTGCAGCCTGGGGCTCCCTCACCTTGTGGTCAGCCGGCAGACCTACCTTCTGAGCACCAGATTGGCCAGCTCTGCTGCCCATCAAGCCCCTGCAGGGGGTGGATGTCCCCCCTCCCCTGGAGCTCAGGTTTCACCATCTGGCCCTGGTCACTGAGCTTGAGGTGGGGGTATGGGTGGGGGCAATGTGGACATGCATGATGCAAGAAAGAGGATGATTTCACATGGTCAGCCCTCAAGGTCTGGGGCTTGGGGGAGGGAACTCCATATAGCAAGGTGGGGAAGGGCAATTTCCCCGCATCCCTTCGGCCTTTCTAGCTCGCTCTTTGGCCTCTGCTGCAGCAGTTGCTATGATGCAGCTGCGAGTTCCAGTGGTTATTTCCCTGGGGTCTCTGGGCTAGAAGGACACCTCTGGTTTCTATTTTTAGCAATGGGCCTGGTACAGGGGCAAGAGGTTGGCAGGTGGGGGCGGGGGGAGCAGAGTCCTTTTGCCCAGGCCCAGGTGGCAGTGCCATGGGACACAGAAGTCACTCCCTGACCCTGCCTGTGCTGGCTGCCCAGAGTCCAGTTGGACTGGAGCACACGTGGAAGAGGGCAGGGGCAGGGGGTTGGCATGTTACTGTGATGTCTGGGGAAACCCAGAGAGGTGGGGGCGGTGGGGTTGATGCAATCTTACAGCAGGGCAGAGTCCACCAAGGCTGGCAGAGGGCATGGGACTTGGGAGGGCCTATACCCAGCTGCTGGTTCTCTTTCAGGGGACAGTGAGAGTTGCTTAAATGTGGGACATCCTAGAAGTGGTGCCAGGTCTCTGTTAACGGGGATGAGAAACGGATGGTTTAGGACTTGTAAGAGTAGAGCAAACACAAAGTGCAGCAACCTTAGTTCCATCCCAGCCCTCCTCATCTCCCTCCCTCACTGACTATAAATGGAAGGGCCAGGCCCCTCCACCTTGAACCTAAGAGGGAAGGCCTCATGCTAGCCTTTCTCCTTATGCCCCAGTTTCTTCAAGAAGAGGGAGGAAGTGAGTGTGATTTGGAAGTGTGCCCCCACCCCATTTTATTCATCTCCCCACTATTTAGCGGAGGTGTGGTGGGGGTTGTCAAGAGAGCCTGCTCATCCTAACCCGGCAGCAGGGAGAGAGAGGTGGTGCTTCCGGGGCTGGGTGTCAGTACCCCCGATGTCCACCGTGTGGCAGTGCTGTGCTGCTGACAGCCGCTGTCTCAGCTCTGGCCGGTTTCCCAGAGAAGGGGCCACTAGGGGAGGGGAGAGACGCAGTGCTCCCCAACCTCTCACTCTGAGAACCCTGGCTCCCCAGCGGGAGACAGGGAAGCTGGTCCCTCTGCTCTCACATCTCGCCCCTGCCAGCGAGCAGAGTGCTGTTAGGAGCAGCATCACTGCTGCCCTTGGTCTGGGACCTCATCACACGGGCAGGTGGCAGAGGAGCTTGGTGATGGGTGCGAAGTTCTTCCTAGAAATTCAAAGCACCCGTGGCGGGAGCAGGGAGAAGGGACAAGGGGGCTTTACAGGCCCTCCTGTCCTCCCTGCGTTTCCCCCCAGGGCCGGAAACATTCAAGCCCCTCTGTGCGGTGCTCTCCCCAGCTCCCTCTCTGTTGGTCCGGCTGGTGACAGCCCTCTACGCTCTGGGGTCCGGGCTGTAGAACTGCAAGACAGGTTTTTGCCCGCGACGGTGTTTCAGAGGGCTTACCTGTTGGTGCCAGGAGCAGAGTTCAGGGAAGCAGCAAGAAATAGCTGCCGGAGGCTCTGACCCCACCTCTCCCCTCTGCCAGGTGCCCCCACTTTCCAGCTCTTCCTATCCTCTGGCTGCTGTGCCTGGCTCGGCCCTACCTCCTCGCTGACACTTACGTCAGAACCCAGCTATAAATATGCTCTTAGCATCTTAGTCACTTTTCCCAAGAAGTGCTCCTGAGTTATAAATACTCCAGCCATCTGCCTCCCTGGCCCGCCCTACCACCAACCTGGTTGGGGCTGGGGGGTGGCGACAAGGCTGAGGGGTGGGTAAGGAAGTAGAAGAATCCTGAGTGATTATCTTGCCTACATGAGAAAAGTCTGACAGTCTAGAGTTAGGGACTCAGGGGACTCTGGAAGAAAAGGTTTGAAAGGCAGACCCACTCTTTCTCCTTGTTATAGAAGGCAGAGCCACAGAAGAAAGGAAAGAACACCGATCCTGTGTTTCTTTTAAAATTTGCCCTTTTTTTTCCATCATGGATTTTTTTTTTTTGGTATTAAACTTGATGTTTGAAAAATATTGAATTAAAATATTTATTTTTATTGATGAATTTTTTGGCCTCCCCTTCGCTCTACCTCACCTTAGGCTCGGCTCTGGGGACTGAAGTGGTGGGAGGGAGGGAAGTTCAGTGGGTGAAGGAAGAGGTACCAGAAGATTCCCTTAAATTGTCTCTTTAGATGGAGATCTCAAGGTAAAGGTGGGGTAACCCCCACGAGGCTGCTCAGGAAGCCCCACAGCTCGGCCTGGCAGTGCCCCCGGAGGTCCCTTTCAGACTTTCTCCTCTAGGGTTCCTATTCCAAGGACCTCAGACCCTGGTAGAAGGGGGTTATAAGCTGAGCAAACACAGACATCACGTAACCCAAAGGACACATGGGTTTTGCAAAATCTCGGCCTTGGGCTGCAGACAATATCGACCCGTGGTGCAGGGCTGTCGAACCAGAGGGAGGAAACGGTGGGGGAAGAGGGCAAAGGTCTAGAGCAGTGATTTCCAACCTTTTCATCTCATGGCGGACAGACTAATTACTGACATTCTGCAGCATTCCAAAAATATAGTTTTTGTTCATATGACAAAAAAGGTATACTTTTGACTGACTTACAAAAAAATAATAGTAATTACCTACCTTTTTTGCTCCAAAGTGACTTAAAAAAAATTAGGTATCTAGCCCTGGCAGGTGTGACTCAATTGGTTGAGTGTCCAATGCACGGAGAGGTTGTCAGTGGATTCCTGGTCAGGGCACATGCCCAGGTTGTGGGCTCAATCCTCAATAGGGGGCATGCAGGAGGCAGCGGATCGATGTTTCTCTCATGGATGTATCTCTTTCTCCCTCTCCCTTTCTCTCTCTCTAGAAATCAATTTAAAAAAATCAAACATCTATACTTGTAAATAAGGATTTCTGGTACTAAGAGTTAATCAGACAACCTTAAATGGACACTGCAGCCTTATTATGTGATGTGACCCATAAGATGCAACTCTATTATATGGCCTATATATTTATGGTTCAAGACAAGGCATTCACACAAGATGGCTATTGTTGTTGTTGTCAGGTATTGAATGTTTTTTTTTTAATATATTTTATTGATTTTTTACAGAGAGGAAGGGAGAGAGAGAGAGAGAGAGAGTGAGTCAGAAACATCAATGAGAGAGAGACATCGATTAGCTGCCTCCTGCACATCCCCTACTGGGGATGTGCCCGCAACCCAGGTACATGCCCTTGACCGGAATCGAACCTGGGACCTTTCAGTCCGCAGGCCGACGCTCTATCCACTGAGCCAAACCGGTTTCGGCAGGTATTGAATGTTTTTAAAATTCTTGCGGCATACTGGTTGAAAATGTCTGGTCTAGAGAGAACCCAGAAACCCAGTCGTAAAGCAAATACCTCCCTCTTCTCACTCCAGGCCTTCCTTTTTTTTTCTCCCTGCCCTACTCTAGTGGCCCTTAGCCAGTTCCAGCTTCCAATCAGGACTCCTGGGTGGAGGCCTGAGAGTTGGTGAAAGCAAGGCAGCCATGTCTGAACCATTCCTCTGCCTCCCACCACCTGTATCCCCACAGGTTGTTGGCCTACTTCTTATTGAGCAGTGATCTGTGAGTACAGGGGGAAGAGAGGAGCAGGTTCAACCCAGGTCTTTATTATCCTTGAGACCAGCAAAGGTGGTTCCAAAAGAGTGCAGGGGGCCTAACAAAGGAGGGGCGGCAGCCTGGGGAAGGAAGGGCATGAAGTATGGCAAGGACACAATAGCTCAGCCCTGAGGAACCTGTGTGAGGAGAGAGCAGAAATGGACACAGCAGGCAGGCTGTCTTCTGGCCTGTGGGGTTCTGACAGGAGACAAAAGACCCACTCAGCTGTCTGTGTTTGCATCACCGAAAAGAGTTAATGAAGGACTTCTTTTTTAAAAAAATATATATATATATTTTTATTTATTTCAGAAAGAGGAAGAGAGAGGGAGACAAACTTCAATGATGAGAATCATTGATCGGTTGTCTCCTGCACACCTCCTACCAGGAGTCAAACTCTGACCTCCTGGTTCATGGGTTGATACTTAACCACTGAGCGACACCAGCTGAGCACTGACTTCTTTACAGAGGTGTGGGCAGGGTGAAGGGAACCAGTGAGGGATATTGAAGCACCGAGGTGCTAGTAAGAGTGGAGAGCCATTATAAGCCGTTAGCATGGAAGCAGTGACATCAGAACCCAGGCAAAGCTGATGCCATGGAAGAGAGGAGCCAGACAGGAGCTGTAGGGACGTAGTCACAGCCACAGTCACACAGAACCACGGCACCTAGGCTGCATGAATAAGAAATATTTGGGCTTCTTGCTTGTGTCTTCCCGTAG